TTAGGGTCTTCTTTGTTGTCTAGGTTCTCTGGCATTGTAAATTGTAGGCTGGTTTACTTTGATTTATGTCTAGAATCCACTTACGAGTGAGTACATATAATATTTGTCTTTCTGAGCCTGGATTACCTTACTCAATATGATGTTTTCTAGATCCATCCATTTGCCTGAAAATTTTAAGATGTCTTTTTTTTCTGCTGTCTAGAACTTCATTGTGTAAATGTACCACATTTTCTTTGGTTGAGGGACATTTAGGTTGTTTCCTGGTTCTGGCTATGAAAAGCAAAGCTAATATGAACATAGTTGAGCACATGTCCTTGTGGTACAATTGAACATTTTGGGGGCATATACCCAAAAGTGGTATTGCTGGGTCTTGAGGAAAGTTATTTCCTAATTTTCTGAGAAATCGCTATACTGATATCTCAAAGGGGCTATACCAGTTTTCATTCCAACCAGCAATGGAGGAGTGTTCCCTTTACCCTACATCGTCTCCAGAAGAAGGTATAATCAGTATTTTTTATGCTGGCCATTCTTAGAGGTGTAAAATGGAATCTTAGAGTTATTTTGGTTTGCATTTCTCTGATGGCTGAGGATGTTGAGCATTTCCTTAAGTGTCTTTCAGCCATTTTAGATTCCTCTGTTGAGAGTTCTCTGTTTAGGTCTGTACCCCATTTTTTATTGGATTATTTGTTGTTTTGATGACCAATTTCTTGACTTCTTTGTATATTTTGGAGATCAGACCTCTGTTTGATGTGGGGTTGGTGAAAATCTTTTCCCATTCTGTAGGCTGCCATTTTGTCTTGTTGACCATGTCCTCTGTTTTACAGAAACTTTTCAGTTTCAGGAGGTCTTATTTATTAATTGTTTCTCTCAGTGTCTGTACTACTGGGGTTATATTTAAGAAGTGGTCTTGTGCCAATGTATCCAAGTGTACTTACCACTTTCTCTTCTATAAGGTTCAGTGTGGCTGGCTTTATGTTGAGGTCTTTGATTCATTTGGACATGGTGACAGATAAGGATCTATTTTAATATTTCTGCATATTGATATCCAGTTATGCCAGCACCATTTGTTGAATATGTTTTCTTTTTTCCATTTTATATTTTTTGCTTCTTTGTCAAATCAGGTGTTTGTAGGTCTGTGGTCTGATAGCTGTATCTTCAATTTGGTTCCATTGGTCATCCTGTCTGTTTTTATGCCGATACTAGACTGTTTTCAGTACTGTGGCTCTTTAGTAGAGTTTGAAGTCAGGGATTGTGATATTTCCACTTCATTTATTGTACAGGATTGTTTTGGCTATTCTGAATTTTTTGCTTTTCCATATGAAGTTGAGTACTGTTTTTTCAAGGTCTATGAAGAATTTTGCTGGGATTTTGATGGGCATTGGCTACTCTGTTATTTCCCAGCTGTTCAGACCTGAATAACTACACAGAAACAGTATTAATTACAACACTGCTTTGCCTAGTACCTTAGGATACTTATTAACTAAGTCTTACATCTTAAATTAACTCATTTCTATTATTCTGTGTATTGCCACAGAATTGTGGCTTACCAGGTAAAGTTCTGGTGTCTCTCTCCTTCAACAGCTACATGTCATCTCTTTGACTCCTATTCTCTCTCTACGTCTCTTCCAGCCTGATTATATTCTGCCTTGCCATAGGTTGAAGCAGCTTCTTTATTAACCAATGGTAATAAAACATATTCACAACATACAGAGGGGAATCCCACATCATTGTCTTTTATGAGTTGACATGATCGGTGGTGTCTCTTCTCAGCAATAGAGACCCTAAATAAGACACGCTTAAAAGCTACTTCTGTGTCAGTGCAACACAGCACTGGTTCCCAACCAGAACAATAGCACCAGCTGTGTTTCCTTGCAAACTGTGATTAGCACTATTGATCATTACTCTTGGCATTCTCACACAGAATGGGATTGTTTGGAGGGTCACTGGGCCCACACCTGAGTGTCTATCGCCACTCTTCCCAGGCATCTGTATGCTGTGTTTCCATAACTGGATGTGTTCTGTGGCTTGGGGAAGGGGATAAAGCAAATAGGCTTTGGAAAACTAGGAGAAGGGCAAGGGCATTCCATCAGGTTATCCATGGGCTAGTCATCGTCCAGGCAGGGTGCTATCATAGCCTTTTCCAAATCTTCTGACTTGTCACCATTTATTGTTTGTATCATAGTGCATATCAAAGCCCAAGTCACCTAAAATTGTACCTGAATATTGTTCTCGTCTATGGAACTTAACTAGATTTTCTTTCATTTGATACCATATTCTGGGAACTAGAGTACCCTTTTCAGGAAACTAAGGAACATATTCCATTATTAAATCTTAGTATTCTTGCAGCTGGGCTTTAGACACTGTGGCACCACTCTTTTTTATGAAATGATGTATCAACTCAATACATGGTGTTTGTTTTCCTGCTTTTAGCCACACAGTGATCCCTGCTTATCTCCTTTTTCAGAGGTCCTTGCATCCTCTCTTTGCTTTTCATTCAGGTTCCCAATTCAGACACCACTTGACTTCACGGACCTAAGCCGATCTGTCTGTGAGACCTGGGATTTGAAGACCTTAAAGAATGGGATGGAATATAGTTTAATGCTTCAGACAATGACCAGTTTCAGTGTACTGAATACACCAATGGAACAAGGAAATCAATGAGCCAAGAAAGTTGATTGAGTTTAGAAAAACATGATCAGAAAAACATGTAAATGTCAATAAGCACATACTAAATAGTTACAGAGCAGCCCTTTCTCAGAACATTCTCAGGATTGATCAATTAAAACACAACTGTCTGGCATGTACTAGAGATTCTATCTGAGAAAGCATAAACGCAAGGCAGAGCCCCTATCCAGACTCAGGGTACACTGAGAACAGCATTCAGCACATCCTTTCACCAGAGTAGATTCTACAGCTGTGTTCTGACATCCAGCAAGAATAAACATGTTTTATAAATTGAATGCAAATACTTGTCACAGGAGGCACTGAAACACATCCAAGAACAATCCAGGGAACAGAATGCACTGAGGTAAAAGACCCTCTGCCTTTTTTCCTGGAGCCTCTCTCACAGTCCCCCAAGGCATTGCTCACCATGTGTCATCCTTGTGACTGTGTTTTATAGTGCTTTCCTAAAAGGTCACTTTAGAGTGGGCACTTACATGGCTATGTGTTTATAGACTAGGAGGACCATACTGGGAAAAGAAATACACTCACACACTCACACATGCACATATACACACACACACACATGCATACACGTACACACACAAATGCACACACACACACACACACAGAAGCATAAAAAAGAAGATCCTGGCATCCAGAGGCAGGCATGTGTGTACATCTTAATATTTTGGGATGCAGGGGCAGGCATGAATGTGCTTCTTTGGTTCTGATTTTTCAGTTTAGACTTTGGATTTTTCTTTACACTTTAGGCTTTCCTTTTTGTATGCATAGGTGATATTTTGTCTCATTCTATTGTAGGCTCCTCTTGGTTTTCTTGTTTGTGTGGCTTTTCTTCCATGAAACCAAATATTTCCTGGCCATAGTAAAACTTTATTACCCACAAAGTCACCAATAAATATTTTGATATGGGGAGAAAAACACTGTTTCTTCATAATTTCTTGATTAACATGCTTTTACTGAAAACTTCTTATATCCTACACCATAGAAAAATCAGGCCAGACTTGTAAATCATCGATTTGCTTCCCTAAAAATCCTGTACTGGTTGTAATTAAAGTCCACAAGGGCACCGACTTGTTATTTGAATAAAAGTTACTCATATCAGAACTATATTCTGTCCTCATTAAAAGTTTTAGGGCGTGAGAAGATGTACTATTGTGTAACATACTTATCCCACAAATCTGTGGACTCGTGCTCAGATACCCAGAGCCCATGTAAAGCCTGTCAGCATGGTAACCCACCTGAAGTGTTGGAGAGATGGAGGTGAGGGATTCCCTGGCTATGCTGTCTGCTAGACTAACTAAAATGAGGAGTTCAAAGTCAGAGAGAGATGAGAGACCCCGACTCAGTACTAAAGGAGAGCAATAGAGAAAAATACCCAATGTTAGCCTCAGGCATCCACATGTGCATGCATACAACATGTATATGCTCCCACATATGTACACGTGTCCCTACATTTAAACACAAATACATTCATGCACA